GGCATGCACCTCACTTTCAATTATAATCCCAAATTCTCCTCTGTCCAAGCAATTGTACACCCATTCCGGGAAGTAAACTTGGCTCGTACTCTCCACTGTGACATCAACATTCTTTCTTCCTCCTACCATTTCCAGCAATAGCATTCCAAAACTATAAACATCTGACTTATATGACACTTTTCCAAAGTTCCTAGACAGTACCTCAGGAGCAATATATCCCATTGTTCCTCTGGCTGCTGTCATAGAAACAGCACTTTGTTCCTTGGAACACAGCTTTGCTAGACCAAAGTCGGAGATCTTTGGATTGAAGTTTTGGTCTAGCAAGATATTGTGAGGCTTGATATCAAAATGAAGGATTTGTTGGTCGCAACCTTGGTGCAGATACTCAATTCCTTTGGCTATTCCCATAGCAATATCTTGAAGCTTCTCCCAACTGAGGAAACGATCTTCATTCCTGGCTACAAATATGAACTTCTCTAAGGACGCGTTTGGCATGTACTCATAAACAAGAGCCCTTTTATTTCCATCTGCACAAAATCCAATCAAGCGAGTAACATTGACATGGTGGATTCTACACATTGATCCCACTTCATTAATGAACTCTTCCGCAGTAGCTCTGAAATTGTTGAGGACCTTAACAGCGACCAAAACATCATTGGAAAGTCTCCCTTTGAAAACTGTTCCATAGGCCCCTTCTCCAAGTTTGTCCTTGAACTGATCTGTTATTCTCTTGATATCAGCATAAGAATATCTCGAGGGTTTGAGAGCTTTGTAATCCTCCAAAAAATTTTCAATCTTGCGTTGGCCCTCTTTCTTTGTTTTGTATGAATGGTGAATGCGGTAAAGTGCAAAGACAATTATTCCAAGAAGACAGGAACCTAGGATTATTCCTGTAGCCATCAGTTTTTTCGGTCTATCTGTAAAAGATTCGAAAGTTAGATTCTTGACATGTTCTTCAAATCTATTACAATCTGATATGACAAAACCGAGGCATCGGAGTTTTGGCCAATGGCCAGGGATGTAAACTTTTAAACTAGATGTTCATCTCAGAATCAAAAGTAAAAGCATTTAAAGCAACAGAACAAGTAAAGGCTAGAAAATTAAAGGAAGACAAATGAACTCAGAGAGCATTGATGGCATTCATAA